GGGTTGGTGGCGGGGAATGGACGCATTCCTTGGGAACGGAGCCTCTGGGAGTTGTACAGTGTTGAGTCCCTTAGCATCGGCATTACCGACAGCCTTGGCTTTCTGGGCTTCACTGTTCATAAATGCTTTCTTGTCCTGACAAACACCACTGAGAGGAGTCTGGCCAGGGGTTTTTCACCCCCAAACTTTCCATGAGTTAACTGAGTCTTGGAGGATGTGAACTGACATGTCTTACTCCATGTCAACAATCACATGTCAACTGTTTTATAAAGTAGGAGCAATTTCAACTATAAGAAACTATGTCATAATGTATCACCATATTCCTTCTACCCAAATTCAATAAATGTTAATATTTTGCTCTAGATTTTTAAAAAACATGTCATTAATGGCCACCTTCTCCCCATCAGACTCTCCTTCCTTCCTTTAGGAGCTAACTATGTGTTGCTGTTTATATTTTATATATTTGTTACATATATTTATAAATAGCATACCTTATTTATGTTTTTAATTCTTATGCTGTGTACCTTTTTTGCAATGTGTTTTTTCACTAAACACTTTTTGACTTCTTTATATTGATACATATGATTCCATTTACTGATGTAAGCATTCTGCACTGACACACAGATTCTATGTTCTTCTGTATCTGTGGGTTTCCCAGAGTGTAACGAGAATGGATCCCACAATGGGTGCCCCACACCCACTCCTTCTCACAAGAGTCTGAAGACACTTAGTGCAGACCTACACGTGTTCTTGCTGAGGTTATAATAAAAGCCAGCAATTTGCAACTTTGCTGGATTTTGACAAATTGTTGTCCAAATTATTTTTTTTGAGCTAACTCATAGGTACATTTTGGTTTTATTGCTGTTTTGAATGGGGAAAAAAAAGCTTTAAAATATCATTTCAGTTGTTGCTGGCAGATAAAAATGTTACAGACTTTGGTGTTTTAATCATGTATCCAGCAAATGTGCTAAGCTCTCTCTCATTCATTGTAATGATTTATCTGTAAATTCTCCTGGATTTTACAGATGAATAATCATACTGTTTACAAAAATGTCAATTTTGTTTCTTCCTTTCTAAACTTTACATCTTTTATTTCCTATTACAGTCATATTACACTGCAGCGGACCTACAGAGCTAGCATAAATAAAAACAATAATGTGATGGTAAAATATCTTTGTGTTCCCCATTTAAAAAATTCTTAGTAGAATGTCTATTTTGATGTCTTGATTTTAGTCATTGTGGTGTTAATTTTCTCCATTGTTTTCAACCATTCCTAGTTATCATGGACTTCAAGGAGCCCCCCTCCCTGCCCAAAACCAGCCCCATCTGATCAACATCAGTCCCTCAGCCCCAGAACTTCCATACAAAATTGCCTGTGATGCTTGCTAGAGTTTATGATTCTGTGTTTAATTGTGGGAACTGATGCTCAATGTCTGCCTACCATAGTACAGTAAAAGTCCCCATGAAGGAAAAATAAATAAATACATAAAATGGCATTTCATAAGTAGAATTTCCAATGTTCATCATCTTTGTATTTCTGCAATAAGTGCTTCTTGTTTATGATGTAATATTATTTTAATATATTTAAAATATGTTATTTTAATATATGTATAGGTGTGCATTTGTATTTTTGTAAGTACATATATAAACATAGGCTTGTATAATTTGCTACTATTTAATTATGATTTATGTATCTGGTTTACAAGTGAGATTGGTTCTATTTTATCTTTCTTTCACTGTCCATTTTGAGTTTTTGGCAATTAGGTCACAATAAACTCATAGAAAGATATGGGAAACTTTTCCTCTTCTTTAATTCTCTGAAAAAGTACTAAAACCATCTGGATCTGGTGCTTTTTGGTGAGGAAATACTTGACTACTTATCAAAGCTTTAATTATACAAACTATGTATTTTTTTCTTGAGAAAATTTTAATTTCTTTTTTTTTAGAAAACATTTTCTTTCATCCAAGTTTTCCTATCTTTCATTTTCTAATAAAAAAACATTGTATCCATTTTTCCTTCCTATTTATTGATGTTTGCGCTCAATTTTTTTCTTTTTTCTTTCCTTTTTTTTTTTACCCATAAATTTACAAACTATCCTACGGTGTTGTGACTCAGTGCTTTTGACTCATTACTGGAATTTCAGAGTTGGAATGAAAAGAGCGTAGATGACGGGATAAGATCAAATTTAGGCAAGAATGAATTCTCTGGTACTAAGGACAGGTAACTGCTTATTTTGACCATGGAGTGAAGTGGAGTGACTAACATTTCACACTTTCTGAAAGTTGCATTCAAACCTCATACAATCAGATTTAACATAAAAGGCAGGGCTGGATTACAAGATGCCATAATTGCAGACTTTTCTTAATGTTCAATGATTTATTTGACCATTTAGTAACTATTTAAATGCCTGTGATGTGCAAATCCTGAACAAAAAAGTGTTAAATTCACTTGTTAATTAAGTCACCCTTAATTAACAAAGTTTTCAAGCACAACGTAACCTGCTTCAGTATTTAATGTGCAGATATTGACCTATCTGTAATTGAGCCTAACCATATGTGCACATTGGCCAATTGGATCTTCTGGGTTTAATATAGTATTGTCCTATAAAGAATCTGCTAGCAAATGTGACTTTAATTTTTAATGAAGGAAAACTAAATTGACTGAAGTCAGTCCCTCTATCACACTGGACACATTTCAAGGACTCAGCAACCACACTGGCTATTAGCTACAACATTGGAAAACTGAATTCTTGAACATTTCCACCATCCTAAAAAGTTCTATTGGACAGCTCTGCTCTAGAATTTCAACAGTAATTAAAGTAGTAGTAGTAGTTCGAGAAAACAGATAAGCTGGCTACCAGAGGTGGCTGGCTAAATGTCTATGGTTACGGCCAGCATGATTAAAAACTTTATTCTTTGAAATAGGTTAAACAAATGCTTTGGAATGTTATATTTCCTGGGAATATCCCTGGAGATTCTAAAACTCAGGAATTATGAATTAGAGCTCAAATTAATATGACTTATTGTATTCTTTAGAACAATCTTTAATATACTTTTTAACACTATTCCTGGCCAGAGGTCACTTCTAACCCTACTCCACTCCTGCCACTTACATACTTATTGATATAAATAATTATTTCCTGGTCACTATCAGCCCCAAAACATTTGTCCACTTTGGCCACTTTCCTGGAATATAACATTGCATGTTTTCATTGCTTCTACTCGGTAAGAAACATCTTTACCAAAAGCACTGTCCCTTCCCAACAGTATTTGCCAATCAGGCCTGGTAAAAATAGATAACTCATCTTGTTTCCTGTTGTTTACGAACCAAGTATCAAATCTACAAACGCCAGTGTGTCAGGGATGGGAGGATTTCTTTTGGTGTTCTCATAGTGATTCATATGAGATGGTAAAATGCACATGAATCAGAATGAGGGCCGGGGAACTGTGGGGCTGGGACTCCTCTCGTGCGTGTTGGGTGCTGGATTAGCAAGGGGATGATAGCCAATAAGTAGAAAGCAGGGCAAGGCTCCCAACATGTCACTGCAGTTCCTGCTGAGACCAGAGGGCCCTGTGGGGTCCTTCAGCAAGTCAACCTTGACGAGGTGAAGGGACTTGTGTCTGTTAGCAAAATGTATGTTCATTTCTCCCCCAGAGTTGAGACGACATGCTTGCTACCAGCTTCTCTCTTCTGTCTATTCTAAGCGCATTTTGACCAGGTGGTGGGGTCTTAAGCGACCCTCCTTTTCCCTTCTTTCCCATTTCTGGGGTTCATTAAGAAAGGAGCTTATAGCATGCTACTTTGTAAATGCCTCATTTCAACTAATAATAAGCTGAGCTGAGCATGGCCAGGGGGAAGCCTGAAGGCAGAGGATCAAAGAAATACTAGAAATCTTGGTCCATCACCACTAGGTCTGTGAATAAAAGACACAGACCTCAGAACCTAGAGTATTTTCCTAGATTTTCAACCTTTCCTGAATATCCCAGCATCAATTGTCTCATTTACTCCATCACCAAGCTCTGTTCACTCTTCTAAGTATCTTTGAAATGTGTCTGTCTATACATCTCTTCCATCATCCAAGTCAGAATGATCACCGCCTTGATGTTAGGTTGCTCTCAATCTGTCCTCAGGCAGCGGTGCTCTGGGAGTGAAGGCTGGGAAGACACATCTGAACATGTCACCTCCCTGCTTAAGATAAAGAACAAAATGCTCCATCTGGTCTCTTGGGGCCTACTTGGATGGCCTCTGCTGCACTCTAACCTCACCTAACCTCATTCCCTTAAGATTATAATCATGCCACATAGGCTTTTTTCCCCCCTAAATTCCTATAAGAAGCCAAACTGGTTCCTGCCTTGGGGCCTTTGCACACATGGTAACTTGTGCTTGAATTACTCCTTTCCCAATTCCCTCTGGCCTAGTTAACTTGTGCTCATCCTTCACGTATCAGTTTAATCACCACTTCCTCTTCATGTGTTACTTTAGTCATTACATGCCTCTCCCACCCAACTAGGTCATGTTGAAGCTTTGCATTTATAGGAGTGACTATTTGATGAACTCTTTCATATAAGCCCCAGTGACAATATTTATCTTTTACTTACCATTGTATTTCCAGCTTCTAACAGTATACCTGGCAATTGAGGCATGAGTAAATCTTTGTTGATTGAACAAATACATAATAACTTTTGCAATCTGCCAACAAATGAACAAAATCTACAAAGGAAGTATACAGATTTAAAAGCCCTGAGTTCAAATCTTGACACTGTCATTTGTTAGGTAGTTTGGGCAAAATAACATACCCCTGCAAGCTTTTGTTTCTTCATGACTAAAACAGCACAACCATGTTTACATGAGGTTGTGAAGATAAGAGATAACTTACACTAATTGAACATCCAGTTGGATCTCAATAAACTACAGACTTCGTCATCATCCAATTTAGAGACCAGCACGTGGATAGCTCCCAGAAAGCCCCCCAGGAAGAAGTGAAAGACAGCCAAAAGGAAACAGATAGTAACATTTTTTATTAAATATTACAGTGGATCAAAAAGTACAAAATATCTCTTGCCTGCTATGTGATTGGGAAACTATTGGCACGTAATACAGTATCAAAAGCAGTAATAAGTACAATTTGGAAAACATACAAAATTGAGTGTTTATAGTTGGCTCAGCATTCTTCTGGTAGTGTTTAAACTAATGCAAAGGTTACTCAATAACCTCTCCATTGGGAAACTATATAATATCACTGGGCCATGGTACTATATACAAATAACCACTGAACAGAGCATAGAGGTTACATAGCTGGAATCACCAAAAAGTATACAATATTTACAACACAGGAAAGTTTAAAAAAGTATAAACAGCCAAGAGATTACGCTGCTATTCTTCAGACATATTTCAACCATGGGGAGACAAGCGGAATATCAAATACATCAACAGCCAACACTGGAGTTTAAGTGCTCAAGGTCATCATTGTAATGGTGTGGGTCTCACTAGCGCAAAATCATACCCATTTCTCTCTAAAATTGGGACAAGAGTAAAACTAGACCAGATGGGACTTGGCTGACCACCACCAAATGTGACTTTGTGTTACAAGAGAAGAGGAATAAATGGTTCTCTTTGAAGGCACACTACATAAAATATTTTTGTGGGACCACCTCAAAATTTCCATCAGACACACACCAACACAGTGAAATACAGTACTTGAGAATTCATGCACCAGGTCAGAAAGTTGTGAAGTCAACATTGAGTTTGAACAAACCCTTCTGTATATGCCCTGATAAGCAAGCGAACTTAAGAGCTTCTCACTAGTAAATAAATAAGTCAGTCCTGCGGCAAATACTACAAGTTCAAATCATTCACTAGGAGAACACTTAATTCTAGAACTTTGTTGGGCTTCTTTTTTTAAAAAAAATTTTTTTTTATATTAAGTTGCCAAAAGTTAGACCAGAAGTTGTATGGAAAGGTTTTTTAAAATATTATTTGGATTCTCCAAATCTCCAATAAATCATAGACTTAGTGCATTTTGAATTGCAACATTTCTTGGAAGCCATACTCAGTAAATAGATTTATGACTCCAATGCCAATTAGATTCCACAGTTTCCTTTACAGAACTACCAATAACAATGGTTCGATTGCACAAAGAAAGGCTTGTGCAATGCCCTTCAATAATAAGGCCCCTTGAACTCAAACAATGCAAACAAAGTCCTATTTAAGACTTTTAAAAATGTGGTTCTCAGCCAATGAAGAATTCAATGGTTTTTTTTGAAAGATTTCCAAGATCTCTGCTTAGAGTTTTAAAACAAATAACACACTGCTTCTGTTCAGAATATATCCCCCATCTCTCTTTACTAGTCCTGATGTTTTGCTGAGGGTATGAGACTCCTCAGGCAGAAACAGTGGGTCTCCTCTCAGAATAGATGAGAAAAACAAAAGCTGGACTATGTTAACATTGTTTGAAAATGGTGAGATCGAATTCCAACATGATGAAACCAGACTGAAATCATTGCAGTGGGGAAAACAAATGCCCCATATTCCAAATGGATAGGTGAGCTCCACCGGGGACAAAAAGCCCTCATTCTCTTTGAGAAGTGAACTCACAGAAACTACATACGATCTAGCCCAAGTCGGCAGCAGAATCACCAGCGTTTTTCTTCCATGTCGTCTGATTCTGTGACCATTCAATCTAGTGCAACTTTCTTGTATGTGTCCTGGCCAGCATTTTGCCAGCTGGAATTGAGATTTCCCCCCCTCATTCTTGTGCAATAGCAGGATAATCTGCATTCACACATTTATAATCTAAATTCTACTAGTCTATCTATGATTCTATTAAATATATATATATATATTATTCCACAGGAAGGTAAATAATTAATTGAAGCAAATGGAACTCTTAACACTGGATCTCTACATTCTCTTGTTTCCACCTTTGGATATTAAGTATGTTACATGGAATATTTGGCTTCATATTATGGAGACATTTCAATACAAATGCACGGCATGCATGGCTTTGTGTAAGAGCCGCAGTTTCACTGTTATTGGCTTTGATTATTTTGCAGTTGCGTTATCTATTTAGAGGTTGAAAATTGTCATCAATTTTCATAGACTTAAATATCTCAGAGGTAAAAGGCTTGGTTAACTATGATTCTAAAGTCTACTAGTAGTGTTGGGGGAGGGGAGAATGGGCTGGGGACTTCATCAAAGCAGTCTTCAGCAGGGGCGGGTGGGGATGGGGAAGAAATTCCACTATTAATCGACTCTTAAAATACACTTAGAAAATATGTCCACCTTGATTTTACATCTGAGGAGCAAATGAAATAAAGGGTCAAGAATGACAATAGGCATACTCCACATCTTCTGAGTGTTTAACCAGGTTGACCATTCACTTCCAAATACACAAGAAACTGTAAAGTGGACAGTATTGCCAGGTGATTAAAAACCCCAAACTGCTTTATGTGTGCAAATGCACACAAAACTCATGCCCCAAAAACCCAAAGAACATAACTTTCTTTTGAAATGAGTAATCCATTATGGCAATTATTCCCAAAGATGGAACCTGGGAGAATCTTCTTGGGAATGCCAAGAAACCAGTTGATGAAGACAGTGACTGCCTAGGACTCAAAAGGCTGCTGCCTAGGGAAGCTGCCTGATGGTCAAATGGTCAGGCCTGCAGCCGTTCCTCCTCCGTTGGACAGTTGAGCTCCATCCTTTCCCCAACCCTCTTTTCCCAGACCGTATAAAGGGAGCAGTGTCAACACCAATGAAAGTCATTCTGGCTCCTGTTCTAATTTCTGAAATTCCTAAAATATCTGTGCAGCCCACAAATATGTCTTCTAGATTCTGTTGTTATTCATCAGTTTCTGCCAGTGAGGTTTTTGTTTTTATGATTCCTCTGGTATGTAGGACAGTTTCACAGCCTAGATAAGGTAAGTACAATGCTCAATATTTTCACATAACCCAATACTTCAAAGCAAAGCATGTGGCGAGTAAGCAGTGTGTAAGCTCTTTGAACTATGCCATTTACGAGGAACAAAACCCGCAAGGTGCGGAGCTGCAAAGGAACCTTCTTTGCACTTAGGTGTGCTCGACTGTTTCTTTCTCATTTGTTCCACTAGAATCAGTTGCTTCAATTTGTAAACAATAACTTTACCACCAAAAGCTGCTCAAAATGATAAAATGTGGAAAAATTACAAACACACATCAACAACTAGGACAGTCAGTCAGCCTTTAACACAAACAAACAAAAAAAAAAAGATAAAACAAAAACAAAGAACCTGCAAATAAAAGCAATATTGTTTAATTAAAAAAGGGGGGAGCAAGAAGGAACTGGGAGAAAATGAACTGCCTGTGTATAAATTAGGTGAGCAAACAGTGATACGGGAAGTTTCAAGAAGCAAATATATACAGTTAATTTAACAGTGTTTACTTCTCTGGATTGTTTAATAGTGTCAAAATGAAAGATCTATTGAAGTTTCACTATACATTGCATTGATTGAACTTGGAGAGTTTTTTTTTTTTTTTATGAAAAGAGGGGTATCTGTTGGCTACGTTTGCCAGTCTGTTTTTGCCCCTTCCTTTGAAAAGCCTGCCCCGTTTGACTCAGATTGTTTCCTGACCATTCGAGCTCAGATGGGGCCCTCTAAGTTCTTCCCAGATATACAGAAATCCCTTCACAAGACACATTTGCAAAACAAATGATCTGGGATGCCAGGGCATCGATGTTGGAAGGGAGTCAAGATGGACCAGCCAGGTTGCAGTTGTCCCAGAAAAATCAGGTGTGTTCACCTTTCCTCTCGGCCTCTCTGGCTGGGACTAATAGTACCCCAAGATTAGAAGGAATACTGACTTCTAAACTCTGCAAGCCAGCACCCCAAGGTGAGAGTGAAGCTCTGTCAGCTCTGCTGTTTTGAGATGCTGGGTAGAGCTGGGCTTACAGTTTTGTACTGGGATGTACAGATGACAGCTGGGAAGACGGAAAGGCAGCTTGAGGATTGATAGCAGCTAAAGGGTAAATGCTGTTGTGCAAAAGGTCCCCGTACGAACTTCCTACAGGTGTGGCCGCAGCCAAGTGTCTGTAGAGCTGCTGAGAATTTGTTGGCGATGTAAAAATTCCTCTTTGCATCACGAGCGAGTGGAAAGCCAGGGGCTGCATGAGTGGGGAGAGCACTGTCTGGTTTTTCAAGTACTGAAGAGAATGAGAATACCCGGCTGGGAGCCGGGAGTTGAGGCTCGAGTTACACAGGCTCCCAGAATACAAACCTGGGAAGATAGGGGAGGACAGGGGAAGCTTGTGGCTCTCAGATCCTCCCCCGGAATGCCCGCCATAGGCTACCTTGCTGCCCTCGCTCTCCTGTTCTGAGGACTTGTCCTTCCCAGACACCTCCTTGGACGGGTCCAGGGGGGACACTGCCCGGGCCTTTTTCCCTGCAATCACCAGGTCCAAGTCCTCTAAGCTGCGCTTGATGGGACGTGCTGCACCAATGTTCTGAGGGCTCATTTTCCGGTGCAGGATGGGATGGACCATGCCTTCCATTTTTCTGAAATTCTCCAGTCTCACATGGTGAGGTTTGCCCGATCTGGAAAGTGATTCTGGGTATTTTTTAGGGGCCGACATGGTCATAGGTGACACTCGGCAGGCTTTGGGGTGACAGTCTCGACTCTGGCTGCTGATGACCTGGAACTGGGAGCTGCCTTTGCTCTCTTGGGGTCCTGTGGCTGAGTGGGCCAGGCCCAGGACCTTGCCAGTAGGCTTGTGCAGGTTCTTGGGAAGGCTTAAATCCGTTGGCTGATCATCTGTGGAGGCTTCTGCTGAGGCCAACTTTTTGTCTTGCAGATGGAGAGATGCAAGATAATTTACATGGAGCTTTTCCTGGTGTTTGTGGGAAGGAAAAGAACCGTTCTCTGATTCCCTGTACATATCCCTGGAAGGGTACTTGGATGTCTGTTCATTATGAAGATGGTGTTCGGTGTGACGATAGAGGCTGTGAAGATGTGGGGAGGAGTAGAAATCTGCCAGGAAGCTAGGCATGTGGGAATGGGGGAGTGCCCTTTTCTCTAGAAGTTTCTCCTTGCCCTCCTGAATTTCTTGCTTCAGGACGTAAGAGTCAGCCAGGGAGTTGAGGTGATGTTTGGAGAAGCTGCAGCGATGGGCATCTGATCGACTCAGTTTGTCATGCTTAAAGATGTCATTGATGCTCTTTCTGTCCTCCGAGGGCTTGCCTTTGAAGCTCTGGACGTGCTGAATCACTGATGGCCGGCTGACTGCCATGTGGTCAGTGTTTTGGCTGTGGTGAGCCTGGGACAAACCAGAACATAAGTCATCCCTGGCAATCAGTTTCTTTTTGCTGATCAAAGGGGGTGGCGAGCCATAAGGGTAGCTGCTGGAGAGGCTCGCCCCACTCACTTGGGACAAAAGCTTTTTCTTGGCCAGTGGGGACATGATGCCTGGATTGCCCCTAGAGTATAGCAGAGGTGTGTAATTGAGTCCGTGGTTCTCATTCATGGGCCCAGTCAAGTCTTTGTCTTTGAACATGTCAAATGACTGGACCACAAGGACCTTTGGGGTCTGCTTGAGTGCATTGTGGATGTCATCACTGCCCAGCTGGTCCACCTTCACAGTGCAGTTGGCAATGTAATCAGCCATTGCAGGCAGCTTGTCCTCCTCTACCTCATTCTGGTTTGCCAGTGGTGGCTGCGTGGTTGGGAAGCTGGGGAATGGTGCATCTTGGAGCTCATTTTCAGGGTTCTCTCTAAAACAGCAGGTTTTGGCTTCTTGTTTTGAGTCCATCAGGGCACTGGGAGAGGCAAGGGACTGTTTGCCAGCACCAGGGGTTGGGACTGGATCCCTTTCAGGAGCCAAGGGAGTGCTCGGGAGCAGAGGAGCAGGACCCTTCTCTCCTGCCTCCTCGGCCTCCTTCTCACTATTGGAACTTTGGTCAGTTTCACTGTCCTTTTCTGGGTCTGCTCTGGACGCCAGGGACCTCACTGCTACATCCTGGTACCCATCTGTTTTTTTCTTCATGTCTGCTGCTGGGAGAGGCTCAGTGACATTTTTCTGGTTTAAAGTCTCTTGTTCCTTTTCTTGCTCCAATGACACCTGATAAAATATTTCAAAGACAGTCAGAACAAAATCAAATACACTGATACACTCTGCTCTGAAATAAAGTATCAGACACAGCAGTTTTTCTTGAAAACAGACTTGTCAATCAGCTCACTGAGTTTCTGTAAGGCTTTATCAGTCTCCAATCACAGCTCTAAACAAAGAAATCTAAATTACAAAAACGTTAGTAGAAATTTGCATATTCACTCCAGTCCCTTAAGAGACACCTATCAAAATAGTGAACTGTTATATACTGATCATATACAATCACATCACTCCTTGATTCTAATATATAGTTTAATTCTAGGGTTGTCTTCTTGTCAAATCAGTCAATTATCCAAATGGGTTTTAAATTACATGTTGTGTTCTATGACACTTCTGAGAAAGATTTTTTTTTGATGTACCTCTCTTTCAAAAATCTAACCAAACCCACGTCAACAACAAACAAACTTACTCCTTGCCTTTCTTTGAGAGATCAAATCCCTTCCTAATGGGTTCAGTAGGATAGATGCATTAAAAATTAGTGATGTTTAAACATTAACAATTTCTACTTAGTGCCACATGACATGCAGATAATTAGTTAAGACACTGAAAAAGGATGCGGATGGAACCTATCTACCTGATACACAGATATTCTAAGTCCTTCTACCGTATAGCAAACTACATTGCTATTAAAAGCCAGAATTGAAATTGTCAAACTTCATATATTGAGTGCCACTACAAACATAGCTTTTCTCTTCATTGAAATAAATTATACTTAATGAGACGGATGCTTTCTATGTGTCTCTATTCACAGAAGTTGTGGGCACAATTCGACCCCTTTACTCCATTATTCAGTCATGCAAGCTTTGACCTTAAAAGGTCATTTTAACTTTGCATATGTGACCCAGCTGACTGACAAGCCTTTTCAAAAATGGCTGTCAGTCCATTCTGACTTGTCTTAGTGGAACAGTCGCAAACAGTTGTATTGAAGTGGTCCCCCAACTCCTGTCTTAATCTCATCTCTATAACTTTGTTCTTCTCTGCCAAGAAAGAAATGCCAATCATATTAGCATTCTGAGAAAGATGGAAGATACTAGTTTAGGGATACATAGGAACAATAATTTTAAGAAATCACACCAATTTCACAGATGTTTGTCCTCAAACCCACTTAAATATATTGCTGCTTTGTAGAGATGTGTTATTCCTAAGAGCTTTGCTTATCCCTCATCCTTTTTCTCACTAACAGTTGCCTTTTCTAGTACAAATATCACCACTTGTTCTATGTTAAAACTCATCATTGGTCTCTTGAGCTTCTACATTACATGAAAGTACAGAAAAATGAGTAAGTGCAAAAGGCAAATTGCATTTAATTATTAGTTTCTGATGGGGCTGTAGTTTGAAGTGGGGCTCTGGGGGATACTCAGCCACACTGAAGTTTCTGTGACCTAGGCTATCAAGTACACTGGAGTCTCATGCTTCTGCCTATAAAACAGGTTTAGGGGGCTGTGAAAGCAAAAAAAAAAAAAAAAAAGCAAAAGGCCACCTTTTAAAGATGGCACTCTGTTCGTATGTTAAATGTTAAGCAATACCTTCTTAATTATGCAACTTGAGATTCAACTAGGTGAAGACTGTAGATTTGACTAGAAGGAGTTTATCACCCCTACTATCTCTATTGAGCTCAGTGTTGCATACTCCAAACATCAACAACGAAAACAAAGTGACAATTAAGTACAAATCCCAATCCCCAAACACAATCACAAGAAGAAATCTATCTAATTAATAAAATGGGTCTATGTTGGAGGTGTGGAGTGATTCTTAGTATAAGGACAATCTTGAATGTCCTCCTGGTGGACATTTCATGCAGTTTAGATAACCTCACATGACAGACTTTGAAACCCCAGATACTTACAACTCATTTCCTGAAAGGAAACAGTTGGGGCCTATAGGAATCAGAGGATCTAAGAGCTATCAGGACTTCTCTGGACTCTGGGGAGCAAAACTCCACTCTTGGGAATGGTCATTTCCCAAATTGAGGGTCTTGACACATGGGCCAAGGATCCCTCCCAAACTCACAAACTAACCACTTCAAACTTCATCCCCCCATTAGAGCCATTCAAAGGTCAGCTGGCCCCTTGGTCCTCCGTTTGTCCACTGGTGCTTTGGCAGCATTTTACATATGTTATCTAACAGAACTTACTGATCTGAAGCCCTTTAATAAATCACCAGGTCAACAGGATAAAGGAAGAATGGAATGTAAGCCTTAACTTGGAATTTCCTTGCTTTTGGCCATTTATGTTGCAAACTGCAGATGTTTAGAAGTCTGCATCACCATTTTTTCTTCCTTTTTAAATTACTAGAGCTTAAATTATTTACAAAACTTAAAAAATAATCATAAAAACAAATTTCTCCTGTTATTAACATTATCTCCTTACAGAGGAGTCAGATGGGTGAGTTAATATCTAGTTAGGGTTTGTGTGTGTGTGTGTGTGTGTGTGTGTGTGTGTGTGTAAACCAGTGTTTAATTAGGAAGTCTCTTATGTGTTCATTATAAACTTGATTTTTAGAGGGTGTTTAATATCAGTACCAAAAGTCCCTCAGGGGTTGGATCCTACAATATGCTGTCTCCAAATGTGGCTGCTAAGTTTTTTTTTTTTTTTTCTTTAATGGGCAGCGGGGTTTTTTATTATTCATGTTGAAACAAAGCCCAGATCAGCCTCCATGACTGGCTATACACTGACAGTAATGGTTTCTACCAAAAAGCTGTTGGGGGCTATGGGTATCTGAGGCTTGTTTAAAAGGTTCAAAAACTACCTGTTAATATGAGAGATAATAATGGCTTCAGAGCAACCACTTCAAAATTTCCCCATAAACACTATGTACTTAAGATCTTGCAAAATTGGTCTCAACCCAGACTGTTGCACAAGAGGTCATATAGGAAGGGAAACTCATCTCTAAAACTTCTGGAGAGTCTATAGGGACTCAGCAATGGCGATTTCAATGACCCTCCACCTGCTGGATCCTGGAAATTATGGTGACTCCTCAGATAAACTGTGAAATGGCCAAGAAGCCACATCTTCACAATAGAATGCTTGGTTTCAAAGAGCTGCAGCTCTGACTCCTTCTATCTTAAAGGCAAAGCTTTTGCTATCAGTTTCCTACAGGATGTTTCGTTTTCTAGATTCTATTCT